TTCGATAAACTAAACTGAAGCTAGAACACAAATGAATAACAAAATACAATAAAACTTAAACACTGGGTCACACGACCCAGTACCGTGACTGTTGTGTGGCTCCATGGTGTAGTGGTTAACACATTCACATTAAATCCAAAAGCTCCCCGGTTCCAGAAGGGAAGGAAACACAAACCCAGCCTCAGGATGATCACAAGGTAATGTGTTCTTAGTGCCAGTCATCAAGCCCAGTTAGATGGCAGGGTTGTGTCAGGAAGAGTATAAGGCATGCGATCTTTGCCAAATCCAAATGTGTGGCTCCATCTGCTGTAGTGGCCCCTTGGAAAAAACAGGGAGCAGCTCCTCTTTACTGCAGACTGTTGCCTTTTGTAGCCCAAAGCAACATAATAGCTGAGCTAGAGTGAACCGACTGTGGTGATAGTTCTCCACTGATTCAACATTCATATTCAAATAGTCATCTAATCTATTTTTAGTGAAACTCAAAAATTGAGCTGTTAATGGATCTACACCCTACAGTTCATAATCAACACCTTTAATTTTTATCAACAGAAACCAAGGCAGATGGATCGTGGTCCTGCTGGGGGGCCTGGTCGCCCTGTACATCGAGGAGGAAGACCAGGACACGAGTGTGTAATAATCCTCCACCTCAGAATGGCGGAGCCACCTGCTTGGGCTCTGCTTCTCAGACTTGGCCCTGTTAAACACTGTTTCTTTCAGATTGCTGAGTGAAGATGTGTTAACTACTTTGTGAGCATTTTTTGTATTCCTTTGTAAACATTAAAGTGCTCACAAATAAAAGAGAAAATCAGAATTTCTGTATTTCCGAATAAATGTATGTTTATGCAGATTTTGTGTCCAGTCTTTGTACCCGACCATTTTCACAGGAAGGTTTTATTGTTTGCTGAGCCACTTAACACTGACCTATGAGTCATTTAAGCAAAAAAAAAGACACCTAACTCAGGGGATGAAACGGTATTAAAATTTAGGATGAAAGAACAAATTTTAAATGATAAATTAGGCACCCTACTGTTACTGGCAGCCTGTCACAAAAACATTTAATTTGTTCTCTTTTCTTTTTTTGAATTTATTTTCAATTTGATGAAGAATATCGAAGACAACTCAAGTTGACAGGAATAAAATGGTATTTTTGCACCAACAAGCTGATTCCCAAAGAGTCTTTAGCTGAAAAATTGCCATAGCTTGCCACAGTGTGCAGTGTGTCAATAAAAAATTTGAGGAAACTAGACAAGTGGAGGAAAAATGAAAAAGTAACTTGCCTGAAAGACTATCTACAGCAAATGAAAAGTATCTGAAAGACATTTGATCCTCACCAATGAGAAATGGTTGTTACCACTGTCCAAACTCTGTTTTTGCCTTACATACTGTTAGAGGTGGGAATCACCATACATC